AAGAGTAGCTATGATACAAGCAAATTTTTCCCAGAGAAAAATAACAAGAGAAACTAACATATACAGCAACATACAAACTACAATTCTGTACAATATTTACAATGAAGGGCTAAAATGAAGTAAATCTGTAGATTGAATATTTTAAAATACTATATTAAGAAGAAATTTCCTTTCATTTCACCTCCAAAATGTCCCAAATTTAGACTAGGTTAAGGCTAGCTAATACTGTTTTAAAGTCATTAAGGTTCAAACTTCGAACATTAACGACATGATAAGAAAATCAGCGAAGACCATATAAGTAGTAGTTTACAAGTAGTAGTACAGGCAGTGTCGGAATGTGCTCCACCTAGTGTTTCAATTATCTGTGTCCTCGCGATGTATTGGATACTTTCTGTGCGACTCAAAATTTTACAAAGAATGTGTGAGTTCATTAACCCTTTTGCCCCCCAGGAAAGTTACAGTTTTTTAAAGCCAATTTCTCCTTGAATATCATACCCAGAGAGCCAAAATTCCACCGATTGCTACGTTTCACAAGTAAACAATTCGTGTCTGATCCCTTCTTTGTGCAAAGTCGTATGCTAATGAGGAAAAATGCGATGACGTCAGCAAAGATTCTCCTTCAACAAGCTTGCCAGGACTTTCATCATAAATGCTGTAATTGCTTTAAACCTTGGACACTTTGTTCTGTTANTCACATTGAAATTTGTCCCAGCTTCTTGACTTAATTTATTGAATGGTTATGATTTTTATTTTTGATGGCGTGACACTGCAAACCAGCCATATTTAGGTTTGTACGGTTATTCATTCCCGCGTTATTCGGAAAAGTGTCTCACCCAAATTTATAGAGTTTTGTACGGGAGACGCCATGTTGGTGCCCTTCGTAGGGGCAATTTGACTTATCATATAAGTCATATAAATTTCCATAAATTAGAGCATTCAAGATGACCTTAAGATTACAATCCTGTTTTTCTTCTTAACAGTCCACCGCTCAACAAATGAAACCCCGAGTTCGAAGCCTAACTACTTTGATCTGTGACTGAAACTGAACTAAATAACAAAAAAAAGAACAATCTTACCTTCCCTGGTGATAAACGCATTCTTTAGCAGGCGTTTTGTAACGACGTTTTTCCCTCTTGGTGTTCTTCTGAACTTGTGTAGCACTCAGCCTAAGAACAAGCTTAGTTAGGTGACGGGTATGTAAAGAAACTTACATCGGCGACGTCGACGTCGATGCGAAATGCTGACTAGTAAAATTCAGTGCTGACGTTTCTTACCAAAAAAGTTGCCTGGTGATCTGACCAAACTCAGTAATCATCCGACAATTTAGAGCTTCTGCTAGGAACGTAGGAACGTAAAAACTGTAGGATTATCAAATCTTGCGCCACCTAGTGTTTCAATTATCTGTATTCTCGCGATGTATTGGATACTTTTTGTGCGACTCAAAATTTTACAAAGAATGTATGAGTTCATTAACCCTTTTGCCCCCCAGGAAAGTTACAGTTTTTGAAAGCCAATTTCTCCTCGAATATCATACCCAAAGAGCCAAAATTTCACCGATTGCTACGTTTCACAAGTAAACAATTCGTGTCTGATCCCTTCTCTGTGGAAAGTCGTATGCTAATGAGGAAAAATGCGATGACGTAAGCAAAGATTCTCCTTCAACAAGCTTGCCAGGACTTTCATCATAAATGCTGTAATTGTTTTAAACCTTGGACACTTTGTTCTGTTACCAGTATAACATATTAGTGGACAAATAAATAAGCATAAGCTGAAGAGCATCATAGCGTGAGCTAAGCCTGAAGATATGGGTTATTGACTAAGCGTGAAGTACAGATGGGTGGATTTAATTCTTTTTGTTTTGTTTTGTTTTTGTTTTTTTGCGTGTTTATGTATGTTAAATTAGAATTTGAGGCTTTCAAAATATCAGCCTTTACAACATGGCAATGTAGGACAGTTGCAACACTGACATTCAAGATGGAGGGAGACATTGGGGTTTGCTGTACTCCGGTATTGTATGTTACTAAAACTGGGAACGGGAACGGG